CTTCGCCGCCGGGGGCTGCCCGTCTTCTCGCCTGGCCCGGGGGCGTCCCTCCTGCACGAGACGGAAAGAGGTGACCGACGGCATCCTCCGCCCCGCGGCTCCTCGCAGGGACCCAGAGGAGAGAGCCAGGGCCCAGGAGGCAGGGTGGGGTCAGGGTGCTCTGACAATCAGCTGGTGGCCCGGAAACCAGGCCGTCTCCAGTTCTGATCTTGGCTCCCACCTGGACTCACTGTGCCACCGTTAACCACCCTGTGCCTCAGTTTCCCCATCTGGCGGTACTACTGAGCCAGCTCCTGCAGGGGGACAGGAGGACGCTTTGGGCCCAGACAGCGCTAGCTACTGAGCAAAGAGCTTCACAGGGCAGGAGCGTGTGCTGGCGAGATTCAGGGCAACAAAAGCGTGGCACGGCCCCCGGAGCGGGCACACAGCAAGCCGGGCTGGTAACTATTAACCCGATGGATAAAGCTGGCGCTCGCTGGGAAGCCAGTGGCCGGATTCAGAGGTTGGGGTCGGGGGGGCGTTGCACTAACTCCTGTTTTCATGCAGTGCCGTGCGCTGCGAAGCCGTAGCCTTGCACTGGCGTCGATCTAGGGAAACGCCACGTCCTCCAGTGTTTGTCACTGTGTCACAGTGGAGACCTGCAGGTCGGGGCTCCCTGCACGCCAGACACTTGTGCAGCGGCCCAGGAGGGAGTCCAAAGCCCCCAATGGATTAGCAGAGTGCCCACCGCTAGAGTTTGGGAGTCTAGTGGTGGTGCACATCCGCACATGCCTGGGTGCACATAAAATTTGCTCCGCACACAGGGAGGAAAAATCTGCCAGTGGATGGAAAAGCTTAGAGGCAGGTCGGGGCTCCCTGCACGCCAGACACTTGTGCAGCGGCCCAGGAGGGAGTCCAAAGCCCCCAATGGATTAGCAGAGTGCCCACCGCTAGAGTTTGGGAGTCTAGTGGTGGTGCACATCCGCACATGCCTGGGTGCACATAAAATTTGCTCCGCACACAGGGAGGAAAAATCTGCCAGTGGATGGAAAAGCTTAGAGGGTTCGAGGCCTGGGGCAGCCCACCAGCCCCTGCTCCATCTCTGTGGCTGGCGGGGGGACCTCCACGTTGCTTGGGGCAGCACTGGGTGGCGACAGGGAAGCCTGGCGTTACAAGGCAGCCGGCGGCCCGTGGAGACGACACGTCCCAGCATGCAATGCTTCCGCCGGGTTGTTCGTAATCGGAGACCGGCCCCCGCCCGGCAGATCCCGGCCTCGCCCTTACCTTGTGGGTGAACAGCGGGCTGTAGCAGCCGGAGCAGGGGAGCCTGGGTGGCTTGGGAGGGGTTCCTTCTGCCTCCCTCCTCGCTCTGTCTTGCAGATCAGGCCCCTGGGCAAGGAGAGAGGGGATCGGGCCCGCCCTCGCGGCAGGGGTGTTCGGCCTCCCTCCTCGCTCTGTCTTGCAGATCAGGCCCCTGGGCAAGGAGAGAGGGGATCGGGCCCGCCCTCGCGGCAGGGGTGTAGCACGCGGAGGGCACGTCTTCACCCGGCGGCCCCGGCCAGCTCCCCCGATGCC